GCAGCCCCCCCCAGGAACCCGCTCCCCTCCCGACCAGCCCTTCCCCTGCCCCTATCTCCTTGGATCACTGTGTACAGATTTTTGTAGGGTTTTTTTTAAGGCGCCATGTTTATAATCCTCCATCATATTAAAAAAATTCCACCCAGCACGAGACACGCTGTCTCTTCACCCCAAAGCCAGGGGGAGAGAGACAGAAACATCCACAGGGCTGTAAATTCAAGCCCCCCTCACACACGCACCCTCCCCTGCCCCTATCTCCTTGGATCACTGTGTACAGATTTTTGTAGGGTTTTTTTTAAGGCGCCATGTTTATAATCCTCCATCATATTAAAAAAATTCCACCCAGCACGAGACACGCTGTCTCTTCACCCCAAAGCCAGGGGGAGAGAGACAGAAACATCCACAGGGCTGTAAATTCAAGCCCCCCTCACACACGCACCCCTCCTCCCCAGACTCCAAAGTCTCTCTCACCTTGTGCTGTTGCTGCTGCTCCTGCTGCTGGAAGGGGGAGGGGAGGGAGAAGTTAAGCCAGGGGAAACTTTTCAATCGCTTCCCCAGGCCGCTGCTGCCGCCTCCTTCCACATATTTTTCCCCCTCGGAGTTTTATTGTGTCTGAATATTCTCTCCCTCTCCTCTTCTGTCTGTCCACAGTTAAGGTTTCTGGGGTAAACAGGGTTTAGGATTGTACTAGGGATATTTGGGAGAAGGAGAACTCTAGTGGTGTTTGCTGGAGTTGCTGTTTGTTTCTTTCTGCTTTCATTTTATTTTATTTTAATACATTGAAATCGCATTCTTAACTGTTGATGGATTATATATTAGTTTTTAGATCATAATATTAAGCCATGACCCCGCAGTGAGTTTATTGGCATTTAGAGGGAATATACATTAACCAAGGTAAGATAGGGTGCATGCTATGAAAATACAATCTGTAGAAATTCTGGACAAATTTTTCAGAAGGGATCACTGAACTGGGACACCCAAAAACTAAAGAATGAAAAACCCATGGCTACTCTTGAAAAATTGGCTTCATACGTCTAACTATGGTGATTACAGAAACTGGCCTTTCACAAAATGAATACTGTTGATGTGTGCATTTTGTGTGTAATTTATAATATTTAGAAATATTTTGTGGTATGTTTAGATATAATATGCAACTTATATGGTGTGTCAATATTAAAGGAATATGTAATGCTAGTGTATGCAAATGAATTTGAATTTTGATGGTCATTAGAAATTACATGAGAGAAGAAAGCCTTGTAATTACAGGCTTGACCAGCTTTTTTTTTTTTTTTTTTTCTTTTTTCTTTTTTTCAGGGCAACATCATATTTTGTCACAACATACTATCAAGCTCAATCCTGCAAACATTATTCTTGTGAATAATTTGACACGTGATTACTTCCATTAAGATAACAGAGGACTGAGTAAAGTAAATCACATTCTTAATGCCTAATATAAAGACTTACACGCACTTAATTGTATGTGCTGTGAACTGTCTAAATCATGCAACTGTGTTCAAGTCAATGGGGACTACTGATCATGTTTAAAGTTAAGAACTTGCATACGTCTTTGCTGAATCAGGGCTTTAAAACCCTTTTTTAAAAATTTGTTGAGCACGAGTTAAGCAGCTTTGGTTCTGCTATTTTTTAAGCAGTGAGAAAATATTTTAGAATCTCTGAAATAAATGATACAAATAGAAATATGTAAGTAGATAATCTACTTGAAGTTTACTTGATGGATTTGATTGATAGACAACTTTTCGTTATCAGCAGTGCATTGTATGGTTGCATATTACCGTGAAAATATGGGTTTTATTTTAAAGTCAGGGTTTTGATAAACTTAGATCATTGGAGCTTTCCTGTTAATAGGTTGCAAAATAGTTGCAACCTTATATTGATTGGGTATAATTTTTGTTCTATAGCTAAAATTTTTAAAGGTAATTAGAGAATTAGACACTGTAATATGGGGCCGTTAGCGGTTAGCGCCCCTGCCAGCAGGATGGGGAACAATACTACCTGACTCCCATCCCCCCAATGGCACCATATTCAAGTCTGTTGTTATCAAGTCCTTGTTATGACCAGCCTTCTAGCTAGGTTCCAGTAGTATCTATTCCCTTCAAGATAATGGAGATTCAGAAGCACTGTTCCTGCCAATTTTTTCTATCCCATGTGTGGATATTTTCCATGCATGTGCTGAATACATTCGTATGTGCAGCGAGGCATGTGTGAATATGCACCACCAACAGAAACACAAAAGCTATCTATGGAATCTCTGACAATCAGCTGGGAGGCATTCAGATTTTTCCTGAGTGGCCGCATGAGTGCACAGCTTACAGGGACTATTGATCAGAAGCCCCATAACTCTAATGGGGCTAAAGCTCCTGGGTTTAGCTTTCTTCAGAGCCCTTGGCTAGAGCAAATTGGGAAAGCCAGCATAGGTGCTGACTTGCTTTTGCCAGATGGTGCTTTTGAAGAGGGGTGTGTGTTTGGGAAGATGATATTTTCAGCATATTTATTCATGTCTTTCATATTCTGGTTACTAAATATGTGTCTATCATTGGTATCTTACCAGGCAAAGAGACTGAGGGAAGTCTTGGGGGCAGGGACCTTGGAAGAAGAGCTGGAGTGGGCACAGGGCCTTTGAGGAAGCAGCAGAATGGAAGAGAGACCTCCAAGTGAATCACAGGCAGGGCCTCAAGAAGAAGTGGCAGAGGAGGGACAGGGTCATGTGGCTGAGAATGGGTTAGGACTGCAGTCTGAGCACCAGTGACCCCACCCCACTTTTAGGGAGTTTCTGACACCCCATCCAGCTTCCCCACCACTAGAGTCATGCACTGTCCAAAGCACCCACAGAGTTGGCACATAGAGAACCCAGGCCCACTGCCTCCTGTGGTTTTCAACTCAGGAAACATATTTGAAGCAGCCAGCCTCCATCTTTCTCAATTATTTGCTGCTCCATGAACTGCCTCTCCTCCTTTGCAAGCTTTTCGTGCCTCTTGCCCTAATTTGTCCTTTTTGGAGCATTTGGTTTTTCTGGCAGCTTCTTCCCCAGCCTGTTGGAAGAATCTTCATTTTACAATCCCTTCACCTCACTGAGGGCTGGGCTTCCCTTTTTTCTTCAGCTGTTTTCCCTTTGATTGAGGCCCTTAGCCTTTCATCATGCCTCAGTGCTTCCCTGTCTAATTAACTGCCTCTTAGTTACTGAGTGAATTAACTACTTACAGGTGTACCCAAGCTGCCTCATTTCCCCTCAAGGGGTCTCTCAGAAGAAGACTGGGCCCCTAACTCCAGAATGACAGCTACTTTCTGACATATAATTTTTAACTATGCTATAAATAGTAAGAGGAAAAAGGATTTACATCATGATCTAACTACTCCTTACTCCCTTGAGTACATCTTATTTTTGCACAGATTCATATTGGCTTAGGGCAAAACTGCAATTGTGTTCAACCCTAGCTCTCAGAAACTATGGTAATTGTTACTACATAAATTGCTGGGCTTCAGTCTTGCAAATGCTTACACATGTGCAGGATTAGGGCTTCCTCATTTGTCTATATTAGAAGTTTTTATTTGAAGTTATTGATTGCCTAATTGTTTGTGGTAGTTAACGTATTTGTAATGGCTAATCTGGTACACTCAATGTTTGTTCTGAGATACAAATTTTGGGTCTTAAGATAAAGGACAAACACTTGTATTCTCAAAATGCTCAGGGAGTATTCACATTGCTCCTACAACTATGTTATCTACTTCTATACAATGTTATTGTAGCTGTGTTGGTCCCAGGATATTAGAGAGACAAGGTGGTGAGGTAATATTTTTATTAGACCAACTTCCATTTGTGAGAGAGACATTTACACAGAGCTCTTCTTTAAATCAGGGAAATATACTCAGTATCACAGCTAAATACATGGTGGAACAGATGACCTTCGCCAATGGTAGGCAACCTGCAGCCCATCAGGGTTTCATGTGTGGTCCACGAGACATTTTGTTCACTGTTCTCATGCATAGGGTTGCCAGAGTCTGCTGGTTTCCGTGAACCTTTTTTTCTATCAGTATTACTAATGTGACATGCATGTAAAGGGAAGTGCATGCTAATTGCACACAATATTGATTATGAAAGGCGTGCACTCCCTCTGCAACCAATAAAAGCGCTGCTAAGTTTCAGTCTGCACACCATGCAAATTACAGGTATGCAATCACAATTAGCAAAACTATCCTATCTCTGGAGACTGTCTTGGTTACGACAGTCTTGTGGTTCACTGAGACGAAGGGCCACTCATGCCTCGGTTGCTCATCCCTGACCTACTCTGAGTAAGTATTTGCTGACTAAATCCGTTAACTCAAGTAAATAACACTGGTGTAGACCTTCGCCAAAGAAATAGGACTTCTTAGGGACTAATCTTGTAAAATGCTGATCTTCCTCAATTTGTATGAATATCAGCACCTAATAGGATCCAGCTTTAAGCAGGTAAACATTTGCATAATGTAGTCCTTAAGCCATGGCTTGGTGGACAAAAAGTCCTTCAGGGCTTCTCTACATAAGGACATCCAGGAAAATTAATTCAAAATTAACTCACTGTGTGAATTTGAAGTGGATAAGTTAAAAATTGTGATCCTATTCTTCAGAATTAAAGTAGCCTTAATTTGGTTTAGTTGAATTCATTCCCCAAGTGACTTAAACCACATGGAATCAGGGGTCACTATAGTTTTGAAAAACAGTGTATACACAGGGGTTTAATATGGTTTCACTAACCCGCTTCAGATTCACAGTTGTGGTTAATTCAGATTAATTTTTTATGGTGCTATATAGACAAAACCTCAGTCATAGTAGTTCATCGGAGTTACCTTACATATGATTGAAAAGACTTTTTAAGACTGATGCAGGATTGAAGCCACATTAGCTTGTTACAGGCTTGGCATCTCTACAGTCGTTTATCTCTGCATCTAACTATTTGAAGTTTCCCTTTTGGTAGCTAAGGTTTCAATTAGGGAACAGCACTAAGATAAGTACTTTTAAAGTCCTATGGTTAGAAGCAGTCAAGGCTTAGTTACGCAGACATTGGAAAGAAAATCCCGCCTTTCATGAGTGCTGGGTAGTTTGTTCCTTCATAGGCATTGCCAACTGTTATGGCAGTTGCTCAATTGGGAAAGTATCCTAACCCTTCCCCCAAAGTAATGTGATTGGCTGATGAGAGTCATAGGCATAGAGTTACATGGCATGTCAGCATAAAATTCAGGGTGTTTCCTTTTCCCTTGTCTAACAGGTCTCTGTAAAAGCAAAACTAAAAAGACACATTCCTTTCTGAACTAGAAAGCAAGCTTTTACTACTAAAGCAACTCCATTTAAGAAATCGCAAGTTACCCACAAGAAGCATTTGAATAGCTGTAATCAGGAGATTGCATTCTAATAGAAAAAGAAAATATTCAAAAGAGCGAGTTTATTACTTGGCTCAGGGAAATGAAAAGAAAAGAAAATAGAGCAACATTTAAACAGTAAAAAAAAACATAAACAATTTTCTTCCCTCTCTAAAATATTTCCCTTCAGAAAATAAAACCTACTCAAGGTAGAAATAGTTAAGACCAAGGCTAAACTATAAACTTTTGCCATCATAACATATATTGGTCAGGAAAGTGAGGTGTGATTTGTGACTGATATAGCTGTGCCAACAAAAGCCCCTAAGTTAGACATAGTTATATTGGCAAAACTGCACTTTTGCCAGAGTAGGTTATTTTGCATGTGGGTGAGGGACTGAAATATAAGCGCAGCTTTGTTTATATAAGCTGCTCTATACATGGCGTGTTTTGCTGCTATAGTATATCAGTTTAGGTATACCAGGAAAATCTTTCAAGTATAAGCCTGGCCTAAGAGGCAGAACTGTTTTTAAAGCTAAATTCTGTCTTTGGATATATACACACACATGAAGAGTGTGCACACACGTGTACTTAATTTAACTTTAAGAAGCTTACTTGATCTGGCAGGATCATATGCCGGGGGTGGGGATGTGCAAAGGGTGCAAACGCACTGTCCCATATGATTCCCTTAGACAGCATGAGGGTGCTGCATGGCTGCCGTCCTTGTGGTCCACTGCTTGAGCTCAGCTCCCTTCCTTTCCTCCACAGCGGGGAGCCCACAAGGGTGCTGCAGCCTTGCCTCCCTCCCTGCATAGTTGGAGTGCCAGTACTGGCTTCTTGCTGGGGGGGAGAAGAGAGAAAGCCCCAAGTCTTGCTGCACGATCTGGCTCATGGCGAAGAAGTCCTTCTCCTCCCCCTCTCCTGGCTGCGGAAACAGTAGCGTGAAGACCGCAGTGAGGGTCAGGGCTTTCTCTCCCCTCCAGTGGGAAGCTGGCTCTGGCACTCCAATGGAATTTGGCCAATGGGAACAGCAGGAGGCAGTGCCTGGGACCAGCACAGAGTGTGAAGGCAAGTAAATATCCCCCCCCCTACATCCCCTCATGCCCAGACCTCCACACCTCCAACCCCCTCACACCTCACCACGGCCCTGCACCTCCAACCTGCTCCTGCACCCTCCCCCCGGCCAGATACCCTACTTCCACCCTGCTCTTGCACCCTCCCTTTTTCCTGAATCCTCCCCCTGGCCAGATACCCTACCCTCGCTGCTACTCCATCCTCCCTTGTTCCTGCACCCTCCACCCTGGCCAAGCCCCTTACCCCCAGCCTGCTCCTTCACCTTCCCTTCCTCCTGCGCTCTCTGCCCTGGGCAGACACCCTGCTTCTACACACTTCCTCCTATTCAGACCTGCCAACTTCCTGTCCAGATCCTATACCCCTATTCCTCTTTCTGGCAGCTCTGTCCCACACATTGAACCCCCCATTTTTGTCCCAGAGCCTGGGGGGGCCCACAAACTCCATTAACCCTGAAAGCGCCAAAGAGTAAATCTGGCCTATGGGAAGCCCAGAACCTCAGGCCTCCCTACCCCTCTCTCATTGGGGCTGGAGCGCCAGAGGAGTGAAGTGTCTCAATTGGTGCCACATCAGTGAGGGTTGGGGGCGGGGGTTTGGAGGGTTTGTTAGGTTTTTTTGCTTCTCATTTGTGTGGTCCCCAAGTGATTTGTCTGTGGCTCAATTAATGCCTGTAATCAATTCTTTTAAAAGAAGGTGAGTGTATCTGAGGCCAGATCTACATTATAAACATACACTGGCACAAGGAACACACTTAAACAGTCCTAACTCCCAGTGTCTACATTAGGGATGTATGCGATTAGTCAAGTAGTCAGCTACCCGATAAGCATATGCTTATTGGGTAGTAGAGTCACTACTGGACTAGTTGATTTCCCCCCTCTTGCTGCCTCTAATGGAGGCAGCAGGTGGGGGTGGGTGAGCAGGAGCTGGTGCAGGTGCATGGAGGAGCCTGTTTAAAAGCCGGTTCCCCTCAGAACTGTCTTCATGTGGGGGCAGAGGTGCAGCAGAGGACTGGCATAAGCCAGGAATCAGTTGTCCCAGCTCGTGCCCAGTTACAGAAGCTGCGCCTCTGCTTTTGAAGGCAGAGGCGTACCAGTCAGGACCTGGCACAAGTGGGAACTGAAGCAGTCCCCACTCACTCTGGGTCCCCACTGCACCTCTGCCTCCCCTGGTGGGTTCCCCACTTTGTCTCTTCCTTTGAAATGAAAAGAGCTCTTGCTACATTTCAAAGACAGAGGCTCAGCAGAAATAGTGAGCACCCTACGCCCTTCATATCAACTAATCGAGTAGTTGATGGAAATTCCATCGACTACTCGATTAGCTGATTAATTGAAATTTAACATCCCAAGTTGACATAGCTATTGCTGCTCGTGGAGGTGGATTAACTACTCCAATGGGAGAAGCTCTCATGTTGTAGTAATATTTTCACCTGAAGCTTTATAGCAGTGCAGCTGCACCACTGCAGCATTTTAAGTGTAGATTTGTCCTAAGTCTGTGATAATCCAACAGCACTGATTACATGTTCAGATACACACACATCCTCCTCCCCTATTTAAATTAACACGTTGGCAATCTGGCACTTAGCACGTATCAGATTGGAGAGGAAAACACATCATGGACATTGCATGCATAATTTTCAATATTTAGAACTGTAATTTCTACACTAAACTGTAAAAATGTTGAGCTCCTGGTAAATATAAGGTTTTACTATCAACCCATGTTTGACTTATCTGAGCATAGAAAATATCTGTATACTTTTTAAACAACATCTGAAAACTAAAAAAAAAAACCCTGCAAACTAAAACGAAATCATTTGAAAACAAAAGATAGCTACATATGTAGGTCCTCAATACTCTTAAGTTTCTTGGGAGGGGGGGCAGTTTGGTGAAAACAGCAAATAAAAATAGAATCTGTCCCTCAAATTGACACAATTTTTTTTTCTTTCTTGGATAATTCAAAAATTGTTAAATTGATTCTTATCAAACTTCTCTTTAAAAATTACCTATGGGCTGAGAACAAGCATGAGATGTTACAAATGCCTGAAAAATCGAGGCTTACAAGAGTGCTTCTTCAGCCATAACATGTAGCCCTGCTTTTGTGGCACTATAATATATAGAGCAGATACTCTTGTGCTATTTCTCATGTTAGGACACTGGAATCCAGGTCCCCAATCCATTATTGTTTGGTGAGTTTATGATTTAAGGGAGTTGCTAGCTCAGCTATAAGAAGCAGAATGTACAGGAACATTAATTGACCTTGTTTCCCAATTCTCAGAAGGTTCACAGAGTTTCTTCTTCCTTATGGGGGAAAAACAGTCTAAGCATTCATTGTCCTATCCCTCAGAGGGCACCAATTCATGATAACTAAACATTAGGCTGTACTTCACTTAGACTTGGTCTACACTAGGAGATAAATTCAAATTAAGGTATGCGACTTCAGCTACATGAATTGCGTAGTGTAACTTGAAGTATCGAATTTTGGCTCCATCTATGCTGCGGGAAGTCAAAGGGAGCACACTCTCCTTTTGATTTCCCTTACTCCTCATAGAAGCAGGACTACTGGCATTGATGGGGGTGCCCTCTCAGTTCAAATTAGTGTGTCCTCATTAGCCCCTCTAATTCAAATCCCAGAAGATCAACTATGGCTGCTTCGATCTTATGTGTAACATAGACATGACCTTAGTCTCTTGTATAGGCCGAACGTATTGCACACACTGACATCTCCTTTCATCTCTCCGTTCCCACATCTCCACACAAGTTCCCTGTGTGCCACCTTCCCATTCCCCTCTATTCTGAGGACTCTGTGCAACTCCCCCCAATTTACCTCCTGTTAGAGATTCTGTGTATTCCCCCATTTCCCTTTCTCCTTCCCTATTATGGTTCTGTTTTCCTTTCCATGTCAGCTGCAGTGTTGTATGTGACATTACCAAGATACATTCTGGACTGATGGACAGCTGTGTCCCCCTCAAATTTCTACCCCAGGTGGCTTTCATATTGCCCTGCTGTGAGAGCAACTACTCTTGCTCTGCTCTCACACAGCCTCCAGCATGTAAATTACTCCCACTTACACTGTATGGCTGTGTCTAGACTACATGACTCTGTCGTCAGAGGCATGTAGATTAGACCCATAGGCAAAGGCAATTTAAATGATCGCGGCTTCATTTAAATTTACATGGCTGCCGCGCTGAGCCGACAAACAGCTGATCAGCTGTTTGTCGGCTCAGCGCGGCAGCCATGTAAATTTAAATGAAGCCGCGATCATTTAAATTGCCTTTGCCTATGGGTCTAATCTACATGCCTCTGACGACAGAGTCATGTAGTCTAGACACAGCCATACAGTGTAAGTGGGAGTAATTTACATGCTGGAGGCTGTGTGAGAGCAGAGCAAGAGTAGTTGCTCTCACAGCAGGGCAATATGAAAGCCACCTGGGGTAGAAATTTGAGGGGGACACAGCTGTCCATCAGTCCAGAATGTATCTTGGTAATGTCACATACAACACTGCAGCTGACATGGAAAGGAAAACAGAACCATAATAGGGAAGGAGAAAGGGAAATGGGGGAATACACAGAATCTCGAGTGCTATAGCCAGCCACCTGAGGACAGGTCTATACTAAACCAGAAGGTCATCTTAAGATATGCAACTCCTGCATGTAAATAATGTAGCTGAAGTTGTACCTTAAGCTTAATTTCTCTGGTGACCCCACAGTGGGAGGTTGTGATAGGACAGTACCTGTAAGAAATAGAAGTTACTTTCACCCCCGTGACCCCAGTTATTTGTTTTGTGTTTGATTTGATCTGTAGATAATCGCAGAGAAGCTTGAAACTGTGGCTGTGCTAATCAGATGGCAAGGGCTCAATATGCTTCTCTTTCAGTTTTCCGGTTTTCCCCACAATCAGTAGAGTTCTGGCTACTGGGAATTATAGGTCAGTGGGAATTATAGGTGCCCAGCACCCTGACAATAGGCAGGCGTATTTAAAAATGTTGGCCCTAACACTTTAGATCCCAAATCATTACACTAGATATACTAGAGTGGCTTAAAACCACAAGTTCATGAGATCACATGACCCTATACTTTTTAAAGTATGAGTGATGTGACCAATCCTTGCAGTGAAAACATGAGGATTTTGGACTCATTGCTTAAGCTCCAGTCTTGCATTTGCATTTGTGTAGATGGATCCTCACACCTGCACATAGCGGTGAAAGTAACTTAACATTTCTTACAGGTACTGTCCTATTGCAGCCTGGGTCCCTGCCAGCTCTTTAAACAGCTCCCTGATGGCTTTTGCTGAAGCTCAGTCAGCTCTTGCTGGGGCTGCATACCAGGCTGCATCCACTTACTTTCACCTCTGCCTGCACAGTGCACATACCCTTGATTATTGCATACCAAGCCAAATGGTATCATTATGTAAGCAGGATCAGAAGAAATGTGTCCCTTGCAGCTTAGCCAGAAGTGGAGAGAGATCATAGGTGTGTCTATATAAACACAGTTTGTGCCTGCTGTCAAGTTACTGAATTTTAGGGAAGCAGAAAGATCATTGCTGCATCCATGGGGGGGGGTGAGGGGTTGGCCCCAAAAGGGGTACAAAGGGGGCCATGTGAGGCATCAAATAGAAGCTTACTTTCTTCTGATTCTATATATGCTATTCATGTAATTGTATAATGTCTATGTGTGAAATTATGAGCATGTACTTTGTATGGGTACTGAATGTTTCTCGGTATGTGGTTGAGCAATGGGCAAAGCTCGGCCTATTGACATACTAATGAGCAAGCCGCTATGGAACAATAGCCCTCCACAGGCCAAGGATACACCTCAAGAATGGTGACATATACCTAAGGACTACCAGCAGGGAACACAGAGATAGGCCGCTGGCCAGGTGACCTGCTGCAGCTAAGAAGAGACGGGGAAGAAGGTAGATAGAGGTCCTGTGGCATCCTCCATCTTGTCTTTAGATCTGCGCCTGACCCCAGATGCGGCCTTGCAGGGAATCACGAGCTGGGAAGAACTGTGGACCCATCCGGAATTAGGATGTACACCGAGGACTTTTAAGCAAGCAGTTATAACATCTCTGCTGTGGGC